GGTGTATGATGAGTGGTGGTTTGATGAGTGGTGTATGATGAGTGGTGGTTTGATGAGTGGTGTATGATGAGTGGTGTATGATGAGTGGTGGTTTGATGAGTGGTGGTTTGATGAGTGGTGTATGATGAGTGGTGTATGATGAGTGGTGTATGATGAGTGGTGTTTGATGAGTGGTGGTTTGATGAGTGGTGTATGATGAGTGGTGTATGATGAGTGGTGTATGATGAGTGGTGGTTGAACAGCTGTTGAATGTCCGTAACACGGAAGTTTTGCACACTAAACTTCCTTTGACTAGTGTTGCATGCTGTCAGACCTAGTAGCTTTACTTGTTGAACACATATATTATCGCTTAGCTTCGGTGTTTTGGGGGGTGGGCGCGGGGATGGGCGGGGGGGCAGCAATGTCATTGGACTGGCGACAGACGTTTCGCATGTCAGAGGATGAACCCATCGTTTTGTGTCTTGTCTTGGTTTTGCTCATTCGTGATTGTCTGTTGAATCCCACTTGTGCATTGTGCATTTGTTCGGGAAACAGTTTTGTTAGAAGACCGTTGGCCTCTTAGCTTTTCTGACCTCGATGCTCTGTGGAAGTGCTTGAAAGAGCAAGTTCCAGGATCGTTGCGAAGGCGCATGAAGAACAAAAAAGTGAACCCTTTGCTTCCACACTACACTCGGCAATTCCAATGACGATATGTGCAAAAAGACGGAACTTGCTCAAGAGAACAGAGCAGACAATGTTTGCCAAGATGTTCACATGACAAGCGTCGTGTGGCGAGCGAAGAAACATTCCTGATGCCCCCAATCCAACATATCAAAGCTTTGGCACTCAAAACATAGGCTTCGAGCGTTTTGACTTCATAAATCAAGCAAAAGTGACAACAGATTAAACTTCAAAATGAATGGCCGGCGCAGTGTTTTGGTACCTTTTCATAGAGAAGAGACGGGCCGGTTAAGTCGCCGCAGGGATGTTTGTACGGTCGTTTTGGTGGCTTGAAAAAGCAAACGTTGCGTGTCTTCGAAAACCGAAGCATTCACAGCCCCCAGTCTCCCGATAGTGGTTGCTTTCATGGTGTGCTTTGTGGCGCCCAAAATGAAGAGCTTGGAATTGGACAATATTTCCTGTGAGGCGAGATTCGTTGCCTGGTGGATTCACCCGGACTTGTGTGTCAATCTCAGAAATCTGCTTTAGGTGCTGTAGATGTGGTTTGGGTTTGCGGGCTTGCTCGACTGCACGCTCATGAGAACCAAACATGTTTTTCTTAGATTTAACAGTGTCAGGTGCGATGCTGAAATCATGGCCTGAGCCACGGTACTGTGGCAAATGGCTGCAAATTTTGTTCATCGTTTTTTGCTTAGGACTGGACAAGCTACCAGTGGTAGCCTCGCGCCTAGGAATACAGTGGTTTCAAGAACATACTACTTCAATCCTCCATGTGGATGAGGCGATGATTGCAACTTAGGCAAGGCGCAATACAAATCGAAACAGGTGTCACCTCCCATGAGTGCAAATGTTGTGCCGTGTGAAAGGCATAGCCATGATCTTGTTTGAATGCCAGGAGTGTGCGATAACCTAGACGTAACATGGCACAGAGACCGCTGTCTACAACATTACTTTTGTTTGTGGATCAATCGACTGCGGAGTGATGCCTGCACCCGCAGGTGATTTGGAGTCCGGGGCCTGTACCCCAGTCTTCCTCCAAGCCAAAGACGAAGGACAAAGGCTCTCGCAGAAAAGGCACTCAACATGCATCATGTGTGCATCATTTGTTAGACGATGTTACATGTGAATTGTACTCGCACGCGCGCACACACACGCACACACTCTTGTCGCATGTGCATGCAAACAGACATAATGAATTGGCAGGTCTTCAGACCCACACCTGCGGCTCAAGAAAACTGGGGGTGGTTGGAGTAAGGTTCCAGCAGAGCGGATCAAAAGGTACCAGGCTTACAACGAAGTTACCTTGAGTTTGTGTTGCGTAGCAAGGTAGCCAAGTAGAACGTTGATCACAACAGACCATCCCAAGCACCTCTCCGAAATGTTTTCTTTGTTACCAACCATCAGTGTGGTTTAAAGTTGAAGCCCTCCTTAGTCCTTCCGGCACAGCGGTGCGTTTTCGTCAGTGTGTCTGAAGGAGGGCCCACAAACTTGATCCGGCAAGACCCAAGAAGAGGGGCGCACACGCGTCAGGGCTGAAAACACACCACCTCACTAGTTGTATCAAGTGCCGCCTCGCAGGTTATGATAGCTTGCGCTTGCTTGGTTAGACCAGGGGTAGGGAAAATGTGATTGACGTAGCTTGTTCATTGCTGCATGGCTTCAACATAGTGGACTGAGGTTGGTGCGCCCGGGGACTTTGGATACTCCCAAGTTCAGAAGCCGGAGCCAAGTTGTTCCATTGTTTCTTTCTTACAGTGAGTCAGTGTACAAATTGTTCCCGTTGTCCAGGCGCCCGGATTACTTGCACACCTGCCGGGACTTGTGCGGTGTCGCGCACATAAGGCCACTTGGCTGTGGTTGGGTGGTATTTGAACTCGTTTCTTCAGCCTGCATGCCGCGAAATGCCCTCCCATGTGCTTCGGGATGGGGTGAATGATTTTGCAACGCACATTGTCCATGATGTTTGTTCCACAACACCTGATTTGCCTTGCAAGTTGGATTCTATGGGCGGTATGGTAGTGTGAAAGCACCGCTTTCCGTGCTCGGCAGTTCGTGTGAAGCTTTGTTTTGCTGTGCCTGCAACACTTTGGGTTTCTCAATGAGGAAAAGTCCGCATTCCGTTCGCATGTGCACATGGCTTTGTAGGGCCGCTGTTTCAACATTGGTTACGCGGAGCTGTTTTGGTGGAGGTTGCAGGGTATGACGCAAAGGTCATGGCAACCACGCAACCGCCCTGTTCCCGATCCCGTAGAAGCTGAAGAAGAAGGTGATGAGCTGGCAGGAACTTGGCAGACGCCGACCACGCAGTCGGCGCCACAGGTGGACTGGGGTTGGGGCGATGCTGGTTGGGAGACCTATGAATGGGAGGCCATCCCGACATCCTTGGGGTGGGAGTTCTCGAGCTGGCACTGATGGCTGGCTGTCGGATGCGCAGCTGAGGAGCTTCAACGTGGCCCGCATAGATTGGACCACGGCGTTGAACAATGGGAGATGGTCGGGCAACGTGACCCCAAGCCTTCGGAGAAGTTGGTTGTCCCTGAGTTTGACGGTGAAGGGTCCAGTGACCAAGAACTAGGTCGTTCGGCTCGCAGCTACATCCGGAAGGTTCAGGTCTGGCTTCGATGCACGAAGATGCCTGCTGAACAGCGGGCCTTAGCGCTCTACACGGCCCTCACTGGCAAGGCTTGGGTCTACGCCAAGGAGTTGGACCTGGACATCATGGGCAGTGAGCATGGGGTTTCCTACTTCCTGGGGTGGATTCAGACCCGCTTCATGGAGGTGGAAGTGTCGAAGGTGTCGCAGATGATGAGCGACTTGTTCCGGCGCTGTCGCCGGAAGCCGGAGCAGAGCGTTCGGGACTTCAACGTGGAGTTCGAGCGCCTGGTGTTGCGCCTTCGTGAGGTGCAATGCGAGTTGCCGCCCTTGGTCAAGGCATGGTTGTATCTCGACCGCCTGAAGCTGACTGAAGGTGAGGAGCTGGCATTGTTGTCGAGTGTCAACAACCAGTATGATGTCAAGAAGCTACAACAAGCAGCGTTGGTGCAGGACCGTTCAATCCGTCGCTCTTCAGGTCCTGCTGCTGCCGACAAGCCGAGTTGGCATGGGAAGCGATGGAGCCGGCAATCGGTGCATGACCAATGACGGCAATTGCAACAGCAGCGATGAGGAGGTGCCGGACTATGAGGAGGACGAGCTCATGGATGAGGACACAGCCCAAGAGCATCACACGGCCTATATGGCCTACCAGAACGCAAAGACGAAGTATCGAGAAACCGTTCGTGGCCGTGGAGTTGACCAGGAGGAGGCGCGAAAGCGCTCCGAAGAAAGGCTTCGCTGGGCCAAGCAAAGAAGTTACTGCTCGGCCTGCAAGCGGAGAGGCCACTGGCATCGTGACCCTATACCCTCTTAGAGGTCAGCGGCCCAATGTCCCAAAGAGTGAGAGCCAAGGAGACAGTGTCAAGGGAGTGCAACACGCTCAAATTTCACCAGTGACTCCCTCAATGTGACTGGGGGCGCTGGGGCTGGGCTCTACATCCTTGACGAGTCCGATGGCGCTGGTTGCAGCTGGGCAGAGCTGCAGAACTCTGGGACACGCTGCCGCCGTGATTGACCCGCCGGCAGATGATGCGATGGGCGAGATGCTGGCCAGTGTGGATACCGCCTGCACCAAGTCGGTGGCAGGCCATGACTGGTTTGAACGCTATGCAGATTGTGCGGCCAGCATGAACTACCAGGTGGTGACTCATGATCAAGAAGATCAATTTCGCTTTGGAGCCTCTCGTCTCTTCACATCCACCTTCACGGTGGATGCTTGGTTTGCGGTGTTGGGCAAATTCTTCAGAGTGACAGTAGCGATAGTGCCACGCAAGGTCCCGCTGCTGTTCGGCTGGCCTGTCTTAGCGGTTTTGGGGATGACCTATGATCTTGCTGCCCAGAAGGTTGATTTGGCAGCTCTGGGCTGCCCCACCGGTCACCCTGCGCTTTTTGTGACAGACTGCCACGGTTTTCCCATTCCTTGCAAGGGGCCACAGATGTCCCTTGGTGAAGTTGGACTGCCCGCTCAGGAGGCATACACGAGCGCTTCATTGCCTTTGTTTTCGTCATGTGCAAAGCCATTAGTTTTTTCCAAAGAAGTTGAGTCCTGAAGTCTTTCGCCTTTTGTCGGACGAGAACGTCATGGGTGGCGCTGGGTTCTATGGGTGGTGGAACTCGGTGAAACACCAACGTGATTTTTGGGTTGAGACCGACTTTGATTTCATTCGCGCCCATGTGGTTCCCCGCAAGCATTGGTTCGACCCTTCCCAGTGGAGCACACAACACGTCACCTTGAAGGAGTCCCTGTTGGCACAGTTGGAGGGGAGTCGACACACTGAATATGTTCCTTGCCTTGCAGGGGGTCTTTTGGTACATGAACACTCTTGACAAGTCGTGGGCCATTGGAAGGCCCTCTGATGCAGTTGGACCATGGATCGGACGCAGCCGCTTTCCCAAGCTGTCCAAGCCCGCTGACACCGGCAATGCTGCGTTGAGCCCTTCCTTGAATGCCCGGCTTGACCCCGTCGCCATGGAACATGAAGAAGGAGCAGCTCCTCCAGGAGCTGAACGAGGTGGTACATCGCTCATGGACTGCGCCGGAGCTGAGGCAGATCTTGATCGAACAACGATCTCTGGAAAAGCACCACCCAGCAGGACGAGAAGATGGCGAGCAGACCGGTGTTCAACTGCCCTCGAAACCCACTCGGGGGCTCATGATCAAGCTGATCAGGGATGCCCGAAGCACTCCAGCTCAGACGGTGGTCCCCTTTGGCCGCTTCAAGGGGCAAGGGCAATCCCAACTCTGACGAAAACCTGGTCAGGCTGGCGACATGGGCCAAGGAGGATCTGACCCGCCGTGCGGGAGTCCCAGGAACCTTGGCCGAGATCCGGACGCATTGGCATTGATCCCACCGCCAAGTCGCAAGGCGACAGGCATGCCAGTGCTTCGGACGGGAGTTGGAGCTTTGTTCCATCAGATCGGAGGCCGACCCGCTCTGCACGATCTCTCAAGACCGGCGTCGCGGAGGAGGAGGCCGATGCTGCGGAACAGATCCGATCGTTGGAGAACCAGATCGCCGCCCTCAAGAAGAAGAGCAAGGACCAGTCTTCTGCAGAGAAGAAGTCCCCGCGAGGGGCTATGAGGTTGAGGAGAACCGATACCAGGCCTATGAGACTGCCGTCCACTAGTGAGGCCACTGTTTCTTGAGCAGAGCAAGGAAGTTGAGATGATGGTGTCCCCTGACCAGATCCTTAACTGCAGGTTCCTGTACAGGGACAAGAACCGGGCAAAGCGCCGCTTGGATCCAAAGATCCCACTGAAGGCAAGGCTCGCTTGTGCGTGGCTGGACAACATGATCCCGACCTTGGGGCGATTGACATGGTCACGGACGCACCAACGACTTCCCGGCGTGCCCTTTTGCTGAGCTTGCAGTAAATGGACAGCATCCATCGGAGATATTCGAGCTGCCTTCCTCAATGGCGTCCCTGCACCTCGGCAACTCTACTTTAGGCAGCCTCGTCGGGGTATGCCTACCCTGAACCCCGGACAGTTGATTGAGATCGTGAAGGGCATCTTTAACTTCACATGAAGCAGAATCACATTGATCCCTGTGTCTTCATGATTGCGGACGACCAGGTCAAGACCCGAGGACTGCTTCTGACTCACGTTGATGACTTGATCCTGCTCACCGAGCCCGGCTTGGACAAGAAAATGCAACAAGAGCTACACCCAGTCGCGAGTTGAGAAGGTCACCATCTCGACTGGCAAAGCTGAAGATGAACTAGCTGAACCAGCCCACCTTGAAGAAATCCGGACAACTATCGGTTGTCTCTCATGGCTGGCCAAACAAACCAGGCCTGACTTGCAGTTCCAAGTATGCCAAGCTCAGAGGCGACAAAAGGCTCCCACTGTTGGCGACTTGAAGGCCACCAACAAAATTGCGCAGGACGCCTTGACCTACAAGGATGATGGCATCACTTTGAAGAAGATTGATGAAGAGAGTTTTGTGATGCTGGGCTACCATGATGCCGCCTGGGCGAATGTGGACGCCGACAACCAGGAGCCTGGGGATCGGGAATGGTATGGAGATCAAACTCTGGCATCGCAGTTGGCCTCCATGGTGATGGTGGCTGACGAAAGAAGCTTGGAAAACCAAGAGGGCTCCTTCAGCATCATGGATTGGAGAAGCCGTGCTTCGGCTAGGGTCTGCAGATCCACGTTTGCCGGCGAGACAATGGCTTGCTCGGAGGCAATAGAGATGAGCGCATACCTCCGTGGTCTGCTTTTGACCGGGAGACCTGTACATCAAGATGAAGCAGGGCAGTTCATTCCCCTGCGCTTGATCACCGACTGCCGTAGCCTTTACGACCATGTGCACCGTGAGGGTGCGCCCAAAGCTCCTTCTGAGAAGAGGTTGGCCATCAATCTGGCCGGGGTCAGGCAAGCTCTGACGGTGGAAGCAAACCGCCAATGGCGGCAGAAGTTCGGCGCCGGGACGCCCACACCGGAGCGGCCAGCCCGTCCTCCGCTTCACTGGCTGCCGACGGGAGAGCAGCTGGCTGATTTGCTGACCAAGAGTCCGCCGTGGCACGCTAAAGCTGCCGTTCAAGCAGAGCATGCTGGGCGCCTCATTTTTAGAGGAGAAGTGAAAGCAGTGTGAAAGCATCGCTTTCCGTGCTCGGCAGTTCGTGTGAAGCTTTGTTTTGCTGTGCCTGCAACACTTTAGGCACAAGGGTTTCTCAGAATGAGGAAAAGTCCGCATTCCGTTCGCGTGTGCACATGGCTTTGTAGGGCCGCTGTTTCAACAGGTAGCTTCGGATGCATGAATGGTTGATTGCGCGAGCGAGTCAACATGTCACATTGTCACATTGTGTGACATACACAAGCGAAGCCCTGTTCCTCCCATGGAAGTCCCGCGCTAACTTCGCAGATTGAAACTTAGCGGCTTAGTGTGTCGACCGTTTCTTTCACTTTGGAGCCGCACTTTGACGCAAGGTTCAGGGTTGTGCACACTGTATGGGGTCATTTTGCAACAGTACAGGTGAAGTATATATAGGGAACCACACTTTGATGGCGTCCCGCCTCTGGCACAAAATGATGGAAATTGGGTAGCGCCCGGCTTCCACCGGAGATGTGACTCTGCCTTTTGAAGAACATCTTTTTTTCTCCAATCTATTTGTCCCAGGATCTAGCCTCAAGTGATTGATGGCATTTCCCTAGTAGAGATCACAAATTGGTGGCGTATCAAAGGCGTTTTGCGAGTTCCATCAAAGTGTGATTCGAAGATATCAAGACTCATTTCTGATCACTTCTGATTCTGGATGCTGCTACGTTGCAGGTTGCTGGATGCCCTTACTTTCGGCACCAAGCAATATCTCGAGAGGATGTCACTCAGCATCAAAGGAGCTTGAGCGTTGAGTGCTACCACTTGTTCAAGGAGCACCTGTTGTACTCAGGTTTGGAGAGTCTCTGCCAGCTGCTCATGTTTCAGCGGGCTTTCACTATCCTGCAAAGTCCTCAGGTGTATACAGCAACCAAGCACGAAATGCATGTGCGCTGCGATGCTCCGCGGGCGTGTCGTGAGTCTCTGCGTCTCAGCCTTGCAGGTTCGACCGCAGTATAGCACGCTCCACCTGCAGATTCGAGTCAATTCCGGTGACGTGTGCCCAGGCGGGCTTTGTTGAATCACTGCGTTAGAACCACGCAAGACTGATGGTGTGAAAGCTCATTTTTGGAAGAGGCAACATACACGGCCCATCTCAGGAAATTCATGGAAATTCAATTGGTGGCTTTCAACAAAGCTCACATATGAACAGCCAGGTGAAGGGCGAGGAGTGGACTTGTTCAGGCTGGGTGATATGTCACGCTTGGGTGCAGGCTTGCTATATCAATATTATCTAGATGCTTAAGGCGCCCCATGGGTTCCTTCTCCCCAGTTTTTTTGCAGTTGCGGAGGAGACGCCCGATTATTACTAATTCGGTACATGGCCTTGCAGGATTCCCCTATAAACCAGGGGGAGTCATGGTACTTTATGTTGAACATGTCCCCTTCTGACTTGACCTTTGGATACCTTTGGATTCTCGCTTCCTTCCCTCTTGGCTGAAGTGGGCGGAGAGGGCGGGTACGTTCGTAGCGTTAGATGAAAGGTTGTCGAATTGTCAGTGATCTTTGGTCTTGGGGGTGTTCCCCCAGTATAGTCAACATCGGTAGCGGAGCTCTGGCTCACTCCGTGGCTTGCTTGCTGCCGAGTGAGAAGAGCGGGTTTGGGTATTTGGTTTGGTCACTGACGGATTGACACCCTTTTATCAGGTTGTCGGTGCGCAGTGTCTGCGTCCCTAATTGCTGATCATGTTCCTGCACCGTCCTCACCAGCGGTGCCTCCTTCCCAGTCGGTGCCGAGCAAAGCTGGAGGTCAGTCGTCTAAATTAAACCTAAACAGACCCCTCCACATGAGAGGCGGGCTGATCGGGGTGAGCCTGTATGGCGCGAGATGACCCGAGTGATGGCATGGCGCCAGCAAAAGAGAAAGAAGCAAGGAGCAGGAAGATTCCGAAAGGACTTCACTATCCCCTACGGGAAGCAAAAAAGCAATGGCAGACAGGCCGCACTATCATCTCGTACTACCAATCCCTTGCAGGCAACCTTCTCCGTTATCAGCAGAGCGCTCGACATTATCCTGCAACATCTCTTCCCACAACATCCAGGCCAACTCTCTATCCCACAACTCTGGCGCCACTTCCACACTTACCTTTCTCGAACTCCCACAGACATAGCCCTACACGCTATACCAATGATGACCTCGTTGGGTTCTTCAACTCCGTTCCCCAGCACCGCTTGATTGATGCTGTCCACAGTTTGATCCAGCACTGGCAGACCCAGCATACAACTCACACTCTCACCGCTGACACCAAGGCCACCGGCAACCCGTACCACCACTCACATATTGGTCGCCACCACGCCAGGCACCCAACGCAACGCACCATCCACACTTCAGACATCGCCACCATTGTCGCATCTGCACTCAATACTTGCATTTTCCGGGCTTGCAACCACACCTACAAACAGATACGTGGAGCTGGGACTGGCTCCCAGTTGTCACCAGCCCTTTGCAATGTCGCCATCACCTTGATTGAACACTCCTGGCAGCAGCTACACAACAACCTGCTTCGTCACACTGACCTACACTTCACCTCTATATTTCCTTTCTCACCCAGCCATCCAACCCTCATCCACCACAATTTCTTCGGCGACCCAGTTGAACTTGAAACCGTGGATGACTTTCACCTCCTAGGGTTCAACATTGATCTCAACCAACGCACAATCAGCTACACGCAACCCACCCAATCTTGGGAAATCCGAGATGCCACCAGCGCCGGGAGCAAAAGACTCACGCTCTCAGGCCTTGCCTCACGACTCCACACAATTTACACCTACACCTATCCACTGTCCACCCAATGCAGCGGACCAGCTAGTCAACCTCTATGTCCTCAACAGACATGCAGCAACAGACTGCAAGAGATTTTTGAAGCCAAAAAAGAACGCCACGTCTTCCTGCTAGCGCCGGGACCGGCTTCCTGTGTGTGCCCCCCTCTGTTTCTAAGAGTTTGTTTCTGTTTTCACCGAACTTGCAGGGGGATGGAGAGGACATGTGAGGCTCCATCCAACGAAGCTCCTCACATGATCCTGGGATATCGACAAGGACGCTTGCCGACGTACCTGCAATCAACTGTTGCTCACGCTGTTCCACTCTCGGTTTGTTTCATGGTGGTTTTTGCGCGCTACTCCCACCAAACAGGTTTCCCACAGCTGCTTTCAGCCGCCGTCGTTCAGCCGCGTTTCTGCGGACAAGTGAACAATTTGTTCAACATTTCAGTTGCGCTGACCTTTGCACCTTGCGTTTCCCTCATCCCTTTCTGCGTGGAACAGAGGTAACTGCAAACCCATTATCTAAGTGTGTGCGTGTGTTTCAACTCCTGTTCCCAAGGAGCTCTGTCACACTTAGTCACTTGGCGTTTCATGTCACACTTTGGCACACTCGCCTGAGAACGCCGTTAATGGACCTTTCCGTCAATCTTAAACTGTACATGCGGGACATGGCGCGCGTTCAGTGACCATGTCCAACGAAGCTACCTGGCGCACGGGAAGTGAGAGCTGCTCGCCCTCATGTACCATCGCCTAATTTTAAGTTTCTTTTCTCGACGCTGTAAACTATATTGTTGCTAGCTTTTCGCCTTGGTGTTCCTCGCTCTGCCATTGCCAGGTCAAGGTTTGAGCGCTCTAGCTGGCTAATGCAGTAACTGATACAGCTCTTGCGAGCATGGATCTAAGTGTTTGCTGCAGCAGTGTCGCGCGTTTAGCGCAGGCCCTTAAGGGCGATCAGTCGCAGGATTGCGTTCTTGCACGGTACTCACCGGCTTGTCGTTTTGCACCTATCAAGCTGCAGAGCTCACTGAGAAACATCCAAAGAATGTCATGTCACGCGGCTAGTGTAATCACTATACGTTTCACCTGATTTTCCATCAGTAGACATTCCATGGCACTTCATGCAAATACATACCACTCCGGTTCCTTTCACTCAACACGGCTCAGTCACTTTCCTCCTCGCGGTTCGTTTGTTGCGTTGATGCACTGGTCCAGAGCGGACCACGATTTGCCACGCACTCTCCATGGCACTATGCCATGCCACACGCGGCTCCGATGCCATTGCCTTCCACCATGACACCTCAATACTTTCCGCCAGCCCGCCGCACATTCAGCTGCTTCTCAATCCCAGATACAGTTCAGGCCCTCGCACACCGACCGCCTCTCACCATCCTTCTCACGCCTCACAATGCCCACCAGCGCCCACGCTACCACCCCACAAACCGCACACGGACGCAGACGCTGCCGCCGTGGTCTCCGCCTCACCCGCAGACCAAATCTATCACTTCCTTGCAGACCAATGCAACCAGCTGCTCGCATCCGAATGCTTGCTGCTGGCATTCACTCTGAACACCTCAGAGATCTCCAGCTGTGGTCTCACAGCGAATGGAAAGACAAACAGTCGCAAAACGAACTTGACGGCGATCCTCTCGGCTGCTGGGCAAGGCGGAGGACTGAAGCTTCGAAGGACGTGGAGTCTCCACCGACCAGTTTGGTGTATCGCTTGACTGTTCTGCGATATATTCTTTGTAATTATTGGTTCGGAATCCCATCGAAAGCAGTTGCTGTGGCTGGCGACAGATGTTTCTTGTGTTTCTTCTTCTTTTTCTTGTTGCTCATCTGAGCTGCTCCAACTGCTCCCGGAAGAGGAAGAGGAGGCCCGCAAGAGAGGTGGTGTCGTCAAGTGCTCCTCGGCTTGTCTGCTCATGCTTCAGCGCCCTGGAGGAACCTCTGAAGGAATGCCTGGGTCAAGGCGGTCAGACACCTTTCTCTTCAACTGCGGTTCTCTTCGGCTCATGTCTTGCCCATGGGTCATACCCGAAGGCTGGTGGGGACCGTGGCAGCAATATGGTCTTGAATGTTGAGTGATGTGAGGTGAGGAAGTGGTTGGAAAATTTCGGGTGCTTGCCAGGGCACCTCTAAAGTATTGTCGCGGACAGAAGACACGGAGCCGCGGAAGCTCATGGTCTGCATGGTGCAAGACGACCTTGTCACCCAAGTATTCTTGTAGTTGGCGAAGTAGGCGAGCAGCAAAGTGTGGGCGTTGTTTGAGGTGGGCCACGTGAAGGCGCCATTGTTGTTGGAGAAAGGGTTCGATGTGTTGATCTAGGGAGGGTGGAAGACTTTGGGCGCGGGGCCATCTGCGAAAGGCTGTTTGGAAGGTGAGGAAGTATAACGAGCTCTTGTGGAATAAAAAGGGCTGTTCATGTTGGCACCAAGAAAGATGCGCTGCAGATCGAGTGTTACGATGAAGTGTCCGTCAGTAGTGGAACAGGTGGGGTCCGGTCCAGTAGGAGAGTGCGTAGGCGCTGGCAAGCACAGGGGAGATCTGATGGATCTGGGGGAGTATGAAGGCTGTCTTCCCACGCCCGGTGATTGTGGAGTTGAGCACGCAAAGTCTTGTGGGCGGCCTCACGAAGGTGCTAGGTCGGTGGAGAGGAACGGCGAGGTGTGTGTGTTGCTGGATGGTGGTGCGTAACCACTGCTGAGTGTGTTTCGTGAAGTCGTCATGAGCGAGGAATGGAGCAGTGAGAGGAATGTTGGCTCGAGGTGGTGTGAGGTTGCGGTACTACATTGGATAATGTGCAAGGCTCTGGTGCGGCCAGGTTCTTCCAGGTTGGCTGCCATGCGTCGAATGGCGTAAAGTTCAAGATCCGTGTGGCGGCCACAGCGAAGTTGCTTTGCTGCTTCAAAGGAAGCTGCTGTGTGTTTGGTTAAGTTAGGCGGAGAAGGGTAAGGGCGTGGTGCTTGGTGGAGGTAAAGAGGTGTGGCTCTTGAATGGTGTGCTGACGACGTCGCAAGCGACGAAAGAATTGCCGCCCTTGGGCTTTCAATTTGAGGTGGTGGGAAATGAAAGGCCAATTGAGAGGTGGCGTCCAGTTGGAGATGTGGTTGTGTTCATGTATCCAGGCCTGGTCATAAGTGTCATGGGAGGAAAGTTGGACGGTGGCGCTGTATTGGTCAATGGTGTTGTGAGTGTGCCAGTAACGGAGAGAGAGTTCGGCAGAAACGGGGATGTTTTGTTGAAGTTGCTTGAGCTTGGCTCGTCTGTTGCGCTCTCGGTGTGGGATGCCAATGGCGGTGGAGCCGATGTAGAAGTGGCCATGTTGATGGTAGCAGCGTTGCGGTTGTTGGATGTTGAAATATAATAGCTTGACGTAAACGGAGTTGGAGGAAAGGAAGTTGTGGTAGTGGTAAGTGTGGGG